GAATTTCACAATTTTGGTGGAGGACTCAATGCTGGTTATCATCAAGCCAACAGGTTGACTGCTTTATGTCCAGGAGTAGAGAAAAAGATTTTTAAAGATTGCATTAGTTTTGTGGTTTTGGCCAAAACCTTAGGGGCCGGGGGGGGGGGGGGGGGTCAGGGGCATGAATTTTACAATTTTTGTTCCCCTTCACCCATAGATGCTGTATACCAAATTTGGTTGAAATTGGCGCAGCCATTCCAGAGAAGAAGCTGAAAATGTTCAAAAGTTTACGACCGATTGATGACGAACAACGAACAACGTACGACGACAGACGAAAACAGACAGCAATAGGTCACTGAGTGACTCAGGTGACCTAATAAATTTAAATCTAGAAGATATTGTTATAATTGCCATTTGCATGTATACAAAATGTCATATATTATAGTGCTATGTTTTCCATTATGATACTTAGAGAGAGAGAGAGAGAGAGAGAGAGAGAGAGAGAGAGAGAGAGAGAGAGAGAGAGAGAGAAAGTGATTTTTTCTTAATCCAGATCATACACAGTGAAGCTTATGATAGTACATGCGTCTGTTTGTTTGTCTTATAATTTTTTTTTTTTGGTTTTCTTTTATTTGCTAATTATCCTTGCTTTTTGATATAAGTATAGCTCATATAAGTGCCAAATGCGTAATACGCAATATTGATCATTTAAATCAAAGTATATCTTTATTATCGAAAGGATATTTTTCTAGTTATTCTTTCTTTCACAGTAAATACATAGGCGTCGGAACCGGGGGGCTAGGGGGGGCTTAGCCCCCCCACTTTTTTTCCAGACATATACTTAGTATAGACATTGAACATATCTTCGTAGGTTTAGCCCCCCCCCCCACTTTCTACAGATACGCCGTATAGTATGGGTTAAAAATTGGGAAATTAGTTGTGTTAGGAAAAAAATTTGGTACTGAAGCACGAACCCCCCCCCCCCCCACGAAAAAGGATTTTCGTGTTTGGGAAATGGACATTTCCTTTTTTTTTTTTTTTTTTTTGCTTGTCAGGTATTTTGTGAAGGTACAAAATTTTATTTTACACTTAGCCCCCCCACTTTCAATTTGCTTCCGACGCCAATGAAATATTATATGTATGTTTTTATTTTACATCGAAAAGAGGCAAATTCTTACAGATTTCGAAGAAAGGAAGACCTAATTTTTGCCCGCGTGGCGCAGTGGTTAGAGTGTCTGCTCTAGAGTCGCGAAGCAAGGAGTTGACCCTTACGTCGCGGGTTCGAATCCCACTGTGGGACGTGGAAACCGGTCCTTTGGATGAGACCAAGGCAATCTAATTAAAATCAGACTTCATAGATCCGCGTCGTATACACTCTGCCCAAGTGAATATGGCATGGATCTAAGAAGTCTATTTTAGTTAGATTGAAACCAAGGTCTCGTGTCGCAATAGGTGCTGGCATGAAAAAAGATCCCTCCCTGCTCAATGGCCCTGAGTGCAGAGTATTGGTCAAAATTTGTAGCTCTTCACCGGCAAGCGTTGGCTTCTCCAGATAAGTGAATAATTCTCGAGAGGAACATTAAACAACATACAATCAATCAACCTATTTGTTGCCATGGCAACTCCAGTCTCAATTTTTGCTCTACTGCTCAGAGACCAGAAGAGCTTATGCGATAGTAAGCCATCGTCATTTTGCGCGCACGTGCTTGCAAGAACTTACACGTGCAACATGAGAAATAACCAATATAATTGATATAAACATAACTTTTTTTTATTTTTGATGAAATGCTTTTAAAATCATAATGTAAGGATAGACAAAAAGACATGGTCAAAATGGCAAAATCTCAAGCGCATGCACGTGCGGACCGCTTTGACTGACTGAAACTTAAGTCTCCATATATTTCTTGTTTTCGACAAAATCCTTCAGTTTGAAATTTTGAACATAGTAATACATTATAAAGATCCATAGCATGATACATAAGAATTATCATGAAAGCATGCACAAGCACATGTGCTGCAATCTTATTGGATGAAACTTCAAATGCCTATAACTTTCTTGGTTCTCAACCAAAAAAAAAAAAAAAAGGATAAAATTTAGAATATGAATATAGGCATAATAAACTCCTACATTATGCTACTATCAAAATTGAATGCAAGGACAAGTGCAATATGTAAAATGACCAATATATTTGAAAAACTGTTAACATTTATATTTTTATGATTTTTTATTGATTCTCACGATATAAAGATATGTTAATGGTTTAGACAACAAGCCATGATCACCTTGCATGTGCATGCACTTGTGTGCGCCTGAAATACGTTAAATGACACATAGTTGACATCATTGTCACTTTTATAATTTTTTTATATGAAATCCTTCGATACTGAGCATATTAAAAAAAGTCTTTTAGGAAATTGGCACAAAAAGGGAGTTAGGGAGCATTTAAGAAACATCTGTAACGGTCCCTGCTACAATTAAAACTAGTTTAAATATGTCTGTAATAAATGCAATACATACAAAGAGTGCAGTTGTCTTCAGATATCATTCCAGGACCAGTGGTGGTATAATTTACTGGGCAATTAGTGCATCCCTCAAACTTCATGGTGAAATTTCCATTGTTCCATGTTCCTTTGGGACACTGTTCACAGGCATTTGATGTTGAATTAAAAAACTGTCCTTGGGAGCAGACATCTGTTAAAATATCAGGGCATAAGCAAATTCTCATAAAAATTGTACTATGGTTTATGTATTTTATCTTCAATATCTAGATAATACAATTATTATTGTTAATTTTTTTTATTAAAACTATCACACAATGAAAAGAAAATTGTTCCTGCTGTAACAACTTATGGCTTACTGAGGCAATTAGAGGAGCTATTGGACATTTTCTGCTTTGTTCCGGTAGCAGCTGGACATGCTTTACACTTGTTTTCAGATGTTGGTACATCCACTGACTGATAGTAATCTAATTCACAATCAACACAACCACCACTACTTCCTATCTCTTGGCCACTGCTACATATATCTGTAAATGCCAAACTTTTAGTATGTTACTTGAGTAATCACTGGCTAGTTAGTGGAGTATGCGATAGCTGGAAACGTAGGATAATATGAATAATGGACAAAGCCTGTTATGCATAAATTATCCCACGCTTCCAACTATCGTTGATGTCCCTGGCATACTCTTATAACTAGACAGTGGTTCCTTATATTTCCATTTCATTGTGAAATAAAATTGTAAATTTAGATTCTAAAAATTATAATAATAATAAAATTCCACGAGCCCTCCAATGTCGATTTCAATAGCCCTCGCCCACTGAAGTCAAACACAAAGACAGCCAGATGAGATTTACATGCATATTACCTCCTTAGCATCAGACCAAAGACAGACGCGCATGGGATTTACATGCATATTAGGCCTCCATAGCTCTTGACCTATAGCTTTGCCTAATTTACATTCCTGTAGAATTATCAAGAAATCTACTCCACTAACTTTCAAAGAGTTATAACAGAGAAAACCTACAGAAATGGAAATATAGCAATATCATATCAGATAAACTGAAAATTATAAACAAACTACAAAAAAGAACAAGAGGCCCATGGGCCTTATAGGTCACCTAAGCATCATGCAACAACTTTCCAACGATTGAATTTGGTTTTTCTTTTAAACTAGACGCCATGGCATTCATATTTTTGAAAGAGACACCATTGCTAATCATCACTATACACTCAACATGTTTAGTTTGGTTACTTAATACCCCAGACAGAGTAGGGGAACAAATAAAATGCATTTCAACTAATCAGTAATATTCAGGAATAATCAGTAGTGCCACTACCACACATGAACCCCTGACACTAGGTCCACACATTTCACAATTTTGGAAAAGGCACCCTTGCTTATCAAAAATGTTTGATTAATACCACGGAGCAGATATCAAACAATTAATTCATTTTCAGTATATAAGTAGCCCCCCCCCTCTATGGTACCCCTGACCAAGGGGACTTGAAATTCACAATTCAGGAAAAATGGCCCTTACTCATCATAGCTATATATTAGGTAGTTCATCTGCTAAATACCCAGGAGCAGAGAAAAAAATATTCAAAGATTGAATGTATTTTCACTATATAATCAATAGAGCCCCACCCTAACACCAAAACCTCTGACCCTGGGGCCATAAAATTCACAATTTTGGAAGAAGCATTCTTCGTCATCATAACTATATACTTAGTAAGTTTATTTAACACCCAGGAGCAGAGAAGAAGATTTTCAAAGAATTAATGTATTTTCACTATATAATCAATAGAGCCCTGCCCTAACACCTGAAACCTGAACCTGGGGCCATAAAATTCACAATTTTGGAAGAGACATTCTTCCTCACTTTTACTATATACTTAATTAGTTTATTTAATAAGCAGGAGCAGAGAAGAAGATTTTTAAAGAATTAATCTATTTTCACTATATAATAAATAAAGCCCTGCCCTAACACCAGACCCCTGACCCTGGTGCCATAAAATTCATAATATTGGAAGAGGCATTCTTCCCCATTATAACTATGTACTTACTTTAGTTTATATAATACCTAGGAGCAGAGAAGAAGATTTTCAAAGAATTAATGTATTTTCACTATATAATCAATAAAGCCCTGCTCTAACACCAGAACCCCTGACCCTGGGGCCATAAAATTCACAATTTTGGAAAAGGCATTCTTCCTCATCATAACTATGTACTTAGTTAATTATCATATCCAGGAGCAGAGAAGAAGATTTTTCAAATAATGCATTTTCACTATATAATCAATAGAGCCCCGCCCTAGCACTAGAACCCCTGACCCTGGGGCCATGAATTTCACAATTTTGGTAGACGAGTCAATGGTCATTACATTCATGCTAACAGTTTGAATGCTTGATGTCCAGGAGTAAAGAAGAAGATTTTTAAAGATTGCGTTAATTTTAGTGGTTTTGGCCCCTCCTCGCAGGCCCCAGGGGGACAGGGACTATGATATTCATAATTTTTGTTCCTCTTCACCCATAGATGCTGTATACCAAATTTGGTTGAAATTGGTTAAGGGGTTGCTGAGAAGAAGCTAAAAATGTTCAGAAGTTTACGACCGATTGACGACGAACAACGAACGACGTACGACGACGGACGGAAACAGATAGCAATAGGTCACCTGAGTGACTCAGGTGACCTAAAAATCATTGGGTCCCAAGATTTAGAATTTTTTTGAATATGTATCACATAACAATTCAAAAGAAATTTGATATGAAATCTTTCAAGTCTTATAAATGTACTCACTTATGGAACAGTCATTGATGCTGGTAGTTTTCATGCTTTCTGTTGTGTTACCAGAAGGACAAGCAGAACACCTACTGAACACATCTGTATTGTTCTTATATTGGCCTCGTGGACATGGCCGACAGGTTTCATTTGCTGAATGTAGGACTTCATATCCTGCTGGACAGTAAACTATAAAAAGATAAACTACTTTGTAATTCAGTTCTTGTTAAATTCTGATTAATGTCACATTGGTACCTTAATTATAAAACAAATACAGAGTGATTCTACTTTTTTTAAAAATAATTTTATTTTTCAATCTCATTTTTAATTTTTTTTTCAGTTAGTATCATGACCATCTGATAACTGTTAGTTTATAAAATCATTACTTTGTTAAATTTGACTCCATCTTTCAGAACTTTATCAGTTCTTTGATATTTATTTTAAAAGAGAAATTCCTGATAAAACTGACAAAACTGGATGACAAAGTATAACAAAGCAGTGGAATTTTCACTTTTATGAACAGACCTCCATATATAGTTATCTACTCATTAACAAAGTATCTGAAATAAAAGCAAACTCTTGAAAATCAGTTTCCACTTTTAACATTAATTCTTTCACATTTGTATCAGTCTAAGTTTATATATCTTGAAATGAAAATGTTGCATTGTAAACACGCATACTTGTACTTAAAATCAAAGCAGAGACTAATATTCTGAGTTCAGTTAATGAACATTATCTGTAATTAAAAGCTTAGGTAGTCTTACACCATGAATGTTTAATGTAAATCCATTGATGCATAATTCATGCAAGTTTGGTCAAGGTATGGGTAATAGTTGCTTAAAAATGGACCTGCAATGGACACTGGTCTAGAAAATCTTGTAGTGTGCATCCCTGGGTACATAATTCATGCAATTGGTCAGATTAGAGTTATACATGAGGTAATTTTGGAATAAAAATGACTCCCTAAAAATTAACATCCTACATGCAAGTTGATCAGATTAGGGTATAATTTTGGACATCTTAAACTAAAAGAATGCTTACACTGATCTTGGGAATAAAGCATAAGCTTTTCTTGACTTAGATTGTAAGCCTTATGATTTTGTCCACGGCTTAAAAAGTGGGGGATATTAATTTGGGTCTGTCTAGCTGTTTGTCTGTCTGTCCGCCCGTCTGTCTGTCATTCTGTCTGCCTGTAACGCTTTCATTTCCAATTGATATCTCGAGAACCCTTTGAGCTTTCGCAAAGAAATTTTGCATAGCAACTCCCTATGAACTAAAAAAAGAAACCTATTGATTTTGAGGTCAAAAGGTCAAAGATCAAGGTCATAAATTCGCAAATTCTATCTTTTATAACACTTTCGTTTCCGCGAAAGGAAGACCCCTATTGATGGAGGTCAAAAGGTCAAGGTCGTAAATTTATACATCCTGCCTGTGTGTAACACTATCCTTTCCGGGCGATATTCCATTTGTATTATTAGTATTTATTGTATTACATGTCGCTATTTTCAGCACGGGGGCATGAGGAGAGTTATTACGTATAAAACAGGTTCTCGGCGGACTTTATATTCTTATCACATCTATATTAGAACTGTTTAATAAAGGTTAAATTAGACACCATGCATTGTGTAAAATTTTGACAATATCAAACGTGAATATATACGTGTATGTGACTTCATCTTTGCATATTATTTTTGTCAATGTACAGCAGCACCATGGTGTAGTGGTATGTCTCTCGCTTCACATGTGAGAGGTCCCAGGTTGGGTTCCTGGACGATCCATTTTTCCCTTTTTTCCCGAAATACTTTTTTTTACTAAATGATAGTATTCAGCATGTGAAATGAAAAATATATGAGGTCTAGCTTGTACAAACTCGTAAAATCATCATTACAGTGTGATAAATATTCAATATAAAAAGAATCTTCTATACACATAATTAAGAATAAGCAATCAAATCTTTATATCCATATTGACACATTTTATTTGCTTCAGTATAGTTACATGTATACATTTAATAATTTTACAAATTCAGTCAGGGGGATCCGACCCCCCCTCCCCCCCAAACTGCACATGGTTTACATTTTCCCTAAGCGGGGGACACAAATTCTCTGAACTAGCTTGTTATATTTTAGTCTTTGAGCATAACATAATGGTCTGATGGCAAAAAATTCAAAACAAGCAAGTTTATTGGTCTCTATGGATGATTTTAAAGGGTTAAGAGGTGGATCAAATATACAGGTTGGTTAAAAATTAGGGAGTGAAAGGTAGTTTATTGACCAATGTTGAACAGTGGAGAAATTTTCCCCAACAGTGCTCAGAAAATTTTGCACTGTATATTGCTCAATATTTGCATTACAGGATCTGTAGTATTATGGTCAAAGACTAAAATATAAAATTAAAATCAAGACCTTCCTCAACTTTGATCCCTATTGAAAGTACTCTGTATTTATTGGTACTTTAATTTTGTATAAAATCAGGATAGGTAATCCAACTATAAGTACTATGAGCAAGCCCACAAATTGATTCCCCAGCTGATTTTTACTTATTCAGGTTTTGTAAATGTGTCCTTGACCTTGCCAAAAATACCTTGGTTACAAAAAATGTCAAATCATCTGGTAATCTTTAAGTGATATATGATATTCAACGCATTTGTATTTTTAAAAAATCTAGACCTATATAAATTTTACACTAGTAGTCACACGCGTGATGTAGTAGTTACAGTGACAGCTCTAGAGTAACGGAGTAAGGGGTTGATCCTTGCGTCGTGGGTTTGAATCCCACTGTGGGACGTGGAGACCGGTCCTTCAGATGGGACTGTATAAACCACGGTCCCGTGTCACAGAAAGTGCTGGCAGGAAAAAGATCCCTCACTGTTCAATAGCTGCAAGTGTCTAGCATAGGACAAAATCGGTTGCTCTCCATCAGCAAGTGGTGGCATCTCCAAGTGAGTGAAAAATTCTCAAGAGGACGTTAAACAACAAACAAACAAACAAACTCATGCAAGTAATTTGAATTTGCTCCAATAAGCTTGAGTCAAGGTTAGGGCACACCCTCAGCTCATAAACAATTTTTGTACTAGCTATTACAAGTTTCAAATAATTCTCTTTTTCAAAGCTATAGCTAAATAAAAGTTTTACTTTCTGCAAGTGACTAATTGAACTTGCAAGAAAACTTTTATCAGAGTCAGGACAAACCTTCAAATCATAAAACAAGAGGCCCATGGGCCACATCGCTCACCTGAGCACATGAGCTAATTAAAAAACACAAATCAGCTCAGTATTGAAAAGTTTACTTGTTGGGGGAGGAGGATTTGAATTCTCTATAACTTAAGAATGTCACTATATCAATAAAGCATACATGTATAAATTTGCCATACTTGAAAATAAGGTTTTTTGATAGATTTTTCCAACATATTACTTGATCTCCCATTGTGACCTCCTATAATGTATATATTCCTATGTAAAACTTTGACAAGCCATTGTGCCACCCCAACCCCCTGGAATCATGATTTAAACAAATTTGAATCTACACTACCCGAGGATCCTTCCACATGAGTTTCATCATTCCTGACCCAATGGTTCTGGAGAAGATTTTTCCCATGTATTCCTATGTAAAACTTTGACAAGCCATCGTGGCCCGGCCCAAACCCCAGGGGTCATGATTTGATTTGAACAAATATGAATCTACACTACCTGTGGATGCTTTCACATGAGTTTCATCATTCCTGGCCCAATGGTTCTAGAGAAGAAGATTTTTAAAGGTTTTTCCTAAATATTCCTTTGTAAAACTTTGACCAGACATTGTGCCAACCCCCCCCCCCACCCCTTGGGGGTTTTCATAATTTGAAGAAACTTGAATCTACACTACCTGAGGATGCTTCCACATAAGTTTCACCATTCCTGGCCCAATGGTTCTGGAGAAGAATATTTTTTAAGATTTTAATTTATATTCCTATGTAAAACTTTGACCAGACATTGTGGTCCCCCCCCCCACCCCCAGAGGTCACGATTTGAAGAAACTTGAATCTACACTACCTGAGGATGCTTCACCATTCCTGGCCCAATGATTCTGGAGAAGAAATTTTTAAAGATTTTCCTATATATTCCTATGTAAAACTTTGACCAGACATTGTGGTCCCCCAACCCCCGGGGGTCATGATTTGAACAAACTTGAATCTACACTACCTGAGGATGTTTCCACATGAGTTTTATCAATCCAGGCCCAATGGTTCTGGAGAAGAAGATTTTAAAGATTTTTATTATATATTCCTAGGTAAAAATTTGACCAGCCAATGTGGCCCCGCCCAACCCCTGGGGGTCATAATTTGAACAAACTTGAATCTACACTATATATTCCCAGGTAAAACTTTGACTAGCAATTGTGACCCTGCCCAACCCCTATGGGTCATGATTTGAACAAACTTGCATCTACACTACCTGAGGATGCTTCCACATAAGTTTCACCATTCCTGGCCCAATGGTTCTGGAGAATATTTTCCTATATATTCCTATGTAAAACTTTGACCAGACATAGTGGTCCCCCCCCCACCACCAGAGGTCACGATTTGAACAAAACTGAAATCTACACTACCTGAGGATGCTTCCACATGAGTTTCACCACCTTTGACCAGACATTGTGGTCCCCCCTCAATCCCCGGAGGTCATGATTTGAATCTACACTACCTGAGGATGCTTCCACATGAGTTTTATCAATCCAGGCCCAATGGTTCTGGAGAAGAAGATTTTCAAGATTTTTCTTATATATTCCTAGATAAAAATTTGACCAGCCAATGTGGCCCTGCCCAACCCCTAGGGGTTTTGATTTGAACAAACTTGAATCTACATTATCTGAGGATGCTTTCACCTGAGTTTCATCTTTCTTGGCCCACTTGTTCTTACAACGACAACAACAACGAACACTACGATGACAACTTCGACGACAGACAACGGACACATTTTGATCAGAAAAGCTCACTTGAACCTTTGGCTCAGGTGAGCTAAAAATTGTAACAAGTATGAGTTTTTAATGAATCTTATAGCCCAAACAACAAATCCATACTTTTTCTGCCGTGACCTTGAAATTGCACTCCTAAAAGGCAAAAGGGGTAAGGGGGAGGGGGTACAATTTGAACAAACTAAAATCTCTAAAAAGATTTTTTCCTACGTTAAACTTTCATAATGCACTGTGGCTCCACCCTAACCCTGAGGGTCACGATTTGAACAAACTTGAATCTACACCACCTGAAGATGCTTTCACATAAATCAATCATTGCTTTGCTGTTCTTAAAAAGAATATTTTTCCAATATACAGCCTACTCTGGATATATTGAAATTTAGGGGACAAGGTTAATTATTTCATAATACCGTATATCAGGTTTTTTCCGCGTCATGTTTTTTCCGCGAATCAGAACCTAAATCAGTATATTAAATTTACGCGAATCAATTTTTCACTATTTCAAAGTCCCAGTGATTGTATTATTAACAATTGTTTCAGCCTATGAAGGATGTGGATGTAAAATGTATTAAGTCATTAAGCTTGAGTTACTACATACGGGTGAGAAATAGATCGATCGACCTTCACCTCGTCAATTTCGGAAGACCCGCTCAGCTGATTACACACCTGTGTTGCGTACTAACTCTCAAATCCACAGATATTATTTTTTTTAAGATTTTAACAATCATAGGTCATTTACTGTTCCAAACTGACTAAAAGCTCAGGTATAATTAGTTTAATAGCTTCTCGAAAACAAACAATAAGATCTTATACCTATTACCGGTATCTTGCGCTTGTCCTCTGACCCCGTTATTTCTACCCTCTACGATATAACCATTAAGAAATAATTCTACTACAAGAAGAAAACTTTGTAAAAAAATTTACGCTGTTTTATTTTCCGCGATTCAGAACTCGTCGCGAACATAGCGGAAACTGGATACACGCGGAAAAATCCTGATATACGGTATCCATAATTAAATATAAGCAAAATTGCAAAGCCGCCATCTTTCAAAGTTCAATCCCGATCTAAAATAAAGAAGAACAAACCCGGACAAATTAATTCAGTCAACATTTATCTAAGACAGTGAACAGATTCCATGGAATATTAGTCTTTTATATAAAATTATTTCTTTCTGTTACATTGAAAAGACAATCTTCAACCTAACTATAAAATTCCCTGATCGCATTCTTTTGCGTTTTGGAGAAATATCACCGGACTCCAACTGTTCAATTTACTTGCATGTATATTATCCTTAGTGCACTCGAGTTAATCCCAAATTTCTTAGCTTTTCGAATTTAGGCTTATCAATAGCCATAACAAGTTCCTATTTAGTCTCAAAGTTCAGTTTTTTCTTTTTCTGTGGGGTTCCTTCATTTTTTTAGCCTCAATACGTCCGTATGCATGAAAACAAAGAATTTAACAGTGAATAATTTCATTTCGTAAAAGCAGTATAAAAAGGCGAAAGGTGAAAGCTTAGTGTATTAATTCACACATTTGTATATCAATTGTTCAGTAAGGCATTTAAGGTAATTACTGTCACCAACCGTAACGTCAGCCACCAGGGAGTACTTCAATATAACCGTTATGAAAATAACTCATTATCACCTCTGGGGACCATTCAGTGGCTTCAATATATTTCAATATAGGTGATTTCAATCGTTATTTTAATGCAAAGAATATGAGAGGCTAAATCTTGGGATTTATTGTTATTTCAAAATAAGCGGAATTTTAAACTAAGCGATTTCAATATAAGTGGAATAAGCTCATGTATTCCTGTGTAAAACTTTCATCGTCCATTGTGGCCCACCCTACCCCCAGGGATCTTCTTTTGAACAAACTTGAATCTACATCACCTACTGATGCATTCATATAAATATAACCAATCATGGCTTTATTGTTCTTCATCAGAAGATTTTTAAAGATTTTTCCTATATATTCCTATGTTAAACTTTGCGACCCCACCCTACCCCTGGGGGTCAAGTTATGAACAAACCTGAATACACTTTCTGACAATGATTTCACATTAGTTTTATCTTTTCTGGCCCATTGGTTCTCGGGAAGATTTTTCAATAATTCCATAAATATTTTGCTTTTTCCTTATTTTCTCCCCTTGGGAGGAAGGTGCGACCCTTCATCTGAACAAACTTGAACCCCCTTCACCCAAGGATACTCTTTGCCAAGATTGGTTGAAATTGGCCAAGTAGTTCTATCACCATTGAAATGGCTCCCATTTTTACATTAATTTAATTGTTTACTTAATAATTTTTCATATCATGCATCAAATTCTAAATTACTTTTATAATTCTTAATATCTTAATTTATTTGTCCACAAATAGTGAAGCTATAAACCAACACAACATCTGGGTAATTTTTAATCCCCTGAAATATTTAGTGCTTTCTTACTAATTGTAAATCATTTACACTCATACGCCCTGATTAATTAAATAAATCTTCTTTGACTTCCTGGCTTCAAAGGATGACACTTGAGTAGTCTATTGTTAAAATTATACTTATTTGATAAGTTCTGCCTTTGGCTATTTTCACATTGAGTAATTCCTTACAATTAGTTTAAATATATAATTGAGAATACAGAGAGTTAAGGGAGATCTTGAGTGACAGAGCTAGTGAGCTGAAGTGTTAAGAACCATGTGGGGAATTAAACTAAGAAACCTTTAAGATTTTATTTCTGTTTAGGCCAACTTCATCTGTTTTAGTTAGGACTTGGACTTGCATCTTTATGTATCTATATTGTTGGATTTCACTGTTACTTAATTAATTTCCTAAACCTGATACTTATGAACTGCACATATAAACTAAGACAACACAATGTTAAGTTTGGGCAGACATAACCATGATTTATTTGTTATGTAATGAAATGTAATATGTAATACATACGTACATTAGACATGTAGGTGATAATAATCAGTTAAATGAAATCATGGTTAACCTCCAACTAACTACACAGACACACACTCTACTCTCATACAAAAAAGAAAGCTTAATAAACTATAATTGTTACCCTACAAATTTGGACTCACTTGTATGTGCTTCCTAACATTCCCCAAACCCTTAAGTTAAATTCCCCAAATGAATGTGCATGCACCGCAAAATGATGTTCAAGACAGACTAGCACGTGATCACAGTTCTAGAGAAGAAGACGAAATTGTGTAAAATTTACAATAATAATGACAACGCTAACGACAATGACGATCGACAGACAACGGACAAATTTTGATCAGCAAAAGCTCACTCTTAGCTCAAGTGAGCTAAAAGTGGAAAAAAACATTTTGCTCTAAGTCCTACACTGACCTCACCAAGATAAACAAGGGAAACAGATCGTAAACATGCATAAGCTGCAGTCAACACATGCATGTAAATAATCTGTACATGGCAATATAGCTAATGAAAGTGGCAATTTAGCGGTAATACTTTTAAATGAAGTGGTATGTAACCATGTTAGAAGCAGTAATGAGTATGCAGCAGTAAGGACAACTTTGAAAATGAATATATTAACAGAGTGAATATATATATGCACTCATTTAAGAATATCACACCAAAATTCTATTTAGGGATCATTTAAGTGTCTTTTTGAAATATGATTTCATTACTGAAAGATCCTTATAATCCTTTAATAAGATAATATTTAATGAAACCAATTTCATATATGTTTATATAAAAAATTAAAAATCATTAATTCTCATGGGAGGTTAATATGTTTGTAGTTGTGTCATGGAGAGATCCACAAAATCATGTTCTTCATGAAAAAAATGGTTATGTACAACAACTCAAGTTTCACATGCCAAACTTTGTTTTTCATCAAACCATGAAAATTTGACTCCAAAAATAATGTGATTTGACAGATCTTTTTATAACAGAGAAATTGTTTGGGTTGCAAAACTCACTTTACAAAATAAAGTTTGCTGTGAAGTCACTTACATTTACAATCAGATTTGGAACTTGTTCCATCAGATTCTGTTGTAAAGTTTACTGGACATTTTATACATTTCTCTTGAAGATCCATTGGCTGATATTCTCCAACAGGGCAAGGAACACAGACGTTAGAAGTATTTCGGTAAGTGCCATTGTTGCAGATTGCTGAAAATAACAAAAATCATTTTCTATGAAATATCATTTATTAAAACAAGAATTCTGAGAGAATTGCATAAGCAATACATGTCCTCTACTAGGTTCCCCTTTTCTCTTTAGGATGTCATTTTATAATATCCTGTATAGGAAAAAAGTATCCCCTCCAAAATGTAGACATTTCGATAATTACTTGTTTATGGATGAAATGTTTTGGAATTTTAAAGTTGATCTGTCTTATAAACAAAGACATCTATGAATGTCATTAGACATGCTTGGGTAAAAACAGCTCATTTTACATGGTTGAAAAAACAATTATATTAAAAATTAAACTTGATTTACGGTTTGTCACTTGAAAAAAATCTGTGTCCGGACAAGCCCTTAATTACCATAGTTAGAATGTCTCCCATACACTCGTAATGTAGCAAAATTTGCAGAATAAGAATCGCTCCGAAATGATTTTGAAGAATACAAAAGGATTTGCATTGAATATAACTATCAAACCAGAAGTCTCTGTCGAGACTGAAGCTCTACTGGCTTGTACTTATAGCAAAGGAAGGTAGATAGATTGTATACTGTTTAACGTCCCTCTCGAGAATTTTTCACTCATATGGAGACGTCACCGTTTGCCGGTGAAGGGCTTCAAATCTAGACCTATACTCGGCACTCAGGGCCATTGAGCAATGAGGGTTCTTTATCGTGCCAACGCCTACCGTGACACGGGACCTACGTTTTTAAGATCATATCCGAAAGACCCGTGACTTTCACTTCTAGTGCCGAGCGCTTGGCGAAGGAACAGTCACTACCTATTTTAACGTCTTAGGTTTGACGCGGCGCCGGGAACGAGAATCGAACCCGGGCTTCCAGATCACGAAGCGAACGCTCTATCACTACCGTGAACGGTGCAAAGGAATAGAAAAGTACTTAAGCAGTTGGGAATTGAAACTTTTCAACAGCAATAATAGAATAATGATCCTTGATTAAGTCTCTTTATGTTCTTAGTGTAGTCTACTTGCATGCCACATTATATTATAATCAGACTAAAACTGTATTTGGAGTAGCATTTTGAGAGTATTTAACAGAAATTTCTATTTTTAGTAACCGTGGCAACACTGTTCATTGAAGTGAAAAACTGATACACAGAATTATGTATCTCAGTGCAGTCTACTTGTGTGCCAAATTTTATTGAAATCAGACCAAAACTGTAGGAGGTGTAGCATTTTGAAAGAATTTCACAGAAATTTCTATTTTTAGTAACCACAGCAACACCGTTTATTGAAATCTAAAACCGATACACAGAATTATGTATCTTAGTGTAGTCTACTTGTGTGCCAAGTTATATTGAAATCAGACCAAAACTGTAGGAGGAGTAGCATTTTGAAAGAATTTCACAGGAATTTCTATTTTTAGTAACCACGGCAACACCGTTCACCGAAATCAAAAACCGATACAGGGAATTATGTATCTTGGTGTAGTCTACTTGTGTGCTAAGTTATATTGAAATCAGACCAAAACTGTAGGAGGAGTAGCATTTTGAAAGAATTTCACAGGAATTTCTATTTTTAGTAACCACGGCAACACCGTTCACCGAAATCAAAAACCGATAAAAACAATTATGTATCTTGGTGTAGTCTACTTGTATGCCAAGTTATATTGAAATCAGATCAAAACTGTAGGAGGAGTAGCATTTTGAAAAATTGTTTACAGACAGAGAGACGGACGGACGACGGACGCATTACTATCGCATAAGCTCTTCTGGTCTCTGACCACTAGAGCTAAAAATTAAGTAAAACAAACTTTTTGAGGTTGTGCATGCTTTAAACTTAAAAAAAATCAACTTAAAGATGAAAATTCAACTATTTTTTAACGTCTTTTTCTCGCTTCATATTTACCATGTTGATATTAGGAACTAGTGTGCACTTTGTAAGAGTTATCTCTAATTCCTTTTCTTTGGTATATTTCGTCAATACACAGAATGCATTCTGTAGTTAAATAGCGGGTCTGTAGGATATATTTATTATTTTAAGATAAAACATTCTATTTAGTTTGTCGCTATAAAGCTACCCAAAAAGTTTCAAATCAATGATTATAACACGACAATCATGTGTTGATCATTAATTTAGTACAGCACAAAACGGATTTTAAACCAAATTATAAAAAACAAGAGGCCCACGGGCCTTATAGGTCACCTGAGTACTGTGTAACAACTTTCAAACAATTAAAATTGATTCTTGTTTTACCCAAGAGGCCACGAAATTCACAATTCACAATTTTGAAAGAGGCACCATTGCTTATCATAATTACAAACTTAGCATGCTTACTCTACTTACTTAATACCCAGAGGTAGATCAGAGTAACAAAAAGGAAAATGCACTTTCACTTTATAACCAGTTGTGCACCTCACCCCAAAGGAACCACTGGCCCTGGGGACACATATTTCAAAATTTTGCAAATTTTATCACAAAATGGTTGATTTATACTAAAGAGCAGATTTCAAAGCATTAATTTATTTTCAGACTATGTAACCCCCCCCCCACCCCCCGACCCAGGGGGCATAAAAAATAACCATTTTGCTAGATGCACCTTTCTTCATCATAAATACAGATATACTTGGATCATTGGCATAAAACTCAGGAGCAAAGGAAAAGATTCTCAAAGAATTAATGCATTTTCACTATATGATCATTAGAGCCCCGCCCTAACACCAGAACCTCTGACCCTGGGGCCGTAAAATTCACAAATTTGGAAGTGGCACTCTTGCTCATCATAACTATGTACTTAGTTTATTTGATACCCAGAAGCAGAGAAGATTTTCAAAGAATAAATGCATTTTCACTATATGATCAATAGAGCCCCGCCCGAACACAAGAACCCCTGACCCCTGGGACCACATATTTCAAAATTTTGCAAATTTTATCACAAAATGGTTGATTAATACTAAAGAGCAGATTCTAAAGCATTAATTTATTTTCAGACTATGTAAACCCCCCCCCCCCCGACCAGGGGGGCATAAAAAATAACCATTTTGCTAGATGCACCTTTCTTTTAAGATATACTTGTATCATTGGCATAAAACCCAGGAAAAGATTTTCAAAGAATTAATGCATTTACTATATGATCAATAGAGCTCAGCCCTAACACCAGAACCCCTGACCCTGGGGCCATGAAATTCACAATTTTGGAAGTGGCACTCTTGCTCATCATAACTATGTACTTAATTAGTTTATTTAAAACCCAGAAGCAGAGAAGAAGATTTTCAAAGAATAAATGCATTTTCACCATATGATCAATAGAGCCCCGCCCTAACATCAGAATCCCTGACCTCAGGGACATAAAATTCACAATTTTAAAAGAACCACTCTTTCTCATCATAAGTATGTACTTAAATAGTCTATTTAATACCCAGGAGCAGAGCAGATTTTCAAAGAATTAATGCATTTTCACTATATGATCAAAAGAGCCCCACCCTAACTCCAGAACCCCTGACCCCGGGGCCATAAAATTCACAATTTTGGAAGTGGCACTCTTGCTCATCATAACTATGTGCTTAGTTAGTTTATTTAATACCCAGAAGCAGAGAAGAAGATTGTCAAAGAATACACTATATGATCAATAGAGCCCCACTCTAACACCAGAACCCCTGACTCCGGGGCCATAAAATTCACAATTTTGGAAGTGGAACTCTTGCTTAACATAACTATGTACTTAGTTTACTTAATACCCAAGAGCAGAGAAGATTTTCAAAGAAAACATGCATTTTCACTATATAATTTATATAGCCCCGCCCTAGCACAAGAACCCCTGACCCTGGGGCTATGAATTTCACAATTTTGGTAGAAGACTCAATGCTCGTTACATTCATGCCAACTGTTCGCCTGCTTGATGTCCAGTAGTAAATAAGAAGATTTTTAAAGATTGCAATAATTTTTGTGGTTTTGGCCCCACCCCTCAGGCCCCAGGGGAGCGGGGACAATAAAATTCATAATTTTTGTTCCCCTTCACCCATAGGTGCTGTATACCAAATTTGATTGAAATTGGTTCAGTGGTTTCAGAGAAGAAGCTGAAAATGTTCAAATGTTAACACACGGCGCAAGACAGACGACGGACGAAAACGGATAGCAATAGGTCACCTGAGTTACTCAGGTGACCTAAAAATTAAAAATGCAAGAATTCCGGCAATATGTAATAAAAATTCTGTGAAAGTCTCATTAAATTTCATTCAGTTGTATGAGAGGAGTTGCAGAAAAGAGATTGGTACCCCAAAGCATAACAGAAGGACAGACGGACGGACATCTCAATTACTATATACCATCCCGCTTTTCAATCAGGGGGTATAATTATCTGCTTTTCAATTTTAGTATTTTGTGATTCCCAGAACATCAAGAGCAATTTAATGAGAATGAGTTATAAAGTCAGTGAAATCATTTTTTAAAAACCTAAGAGTAGCAATGGAGAAGAGAAACTGATGTGAATTAATATAAGTGAACAAGAAAATAAGTTTTTGACTCTGCATGTTTTCAATAAATAGCAGAATAAACACAAATGTTCATCTTTATATCATATTTTGTTACCTAATGTTTAGAACTTTGATAATCATTGATTAGCATTTTATTTTCACAATTGCTTTTTGAGAACAAGAGGCCCAGGGGCCACATCGCTCACCTGAGCAACTGGCTAAGTAAAAGCAAAAATTAGATCAGTATTGAAAAGTTTACATATATTATAAAAATGGGTTCTGGGAGGGGAGGGGGTATTTAAACAAACTTAAATCTACACTTCCTTAGAATGCTTTTGTGACATGTTATGGTTTTGTTGTTTATAAGATGAAAATTTTTATTGATATAGCCTTTGTATTCATTTCTTCACTTTATGGTTCCTGTATTCTCCTGAATTTCAAATCTACATTACCTTTTTTAATGCTTTTAAATTGATGATCAATCATCATGATGGCTTTATGAAGAATTTTAACAATTTTTACCATGCATCCCTTTGTAAAACCTTCATCACCCATT